CTCGAAGGATCAGAAATAGATGGGTCCGGATCTCCTCCAGAAATAGTTTGAGAGATTGAGAGCGAGAGAGAGTGAGAGAGAGAGAGAGAGAGAGAGAGAGAGAGAGAGTAATACAGTACAGGCATGTATACGATCTTGGGGGCGGCCGGATTTACTGAGAACTTCGAGGTCGACGAGGCCGAGAGACATCAAACCAAGAGTTAGACCGGCCATCAGACCGGCGAAGATTACCAGACATATGATTACTATCACAAACAGAAAAAACTTTGTCTCGCAACACGGTATATCATCCGCCATCTCTCTCTCTCTCTCTCTCCTCTCTCTCTCACACACAATCACACACACACACACAGTGGCTTCCTGAAAAGGAAGGAGGTTTATTCAGGAAAATCTCGCAGTTTGTGCGGATGCGCCTGTCTGTATCCTATTTGGCTGCCAACATTTTGGACTCACAGTGGAAAATCTTGTGGATTTCTTTTTTGTAATTATAATTTGATATTTATTATTATAAAATTAATATTTAATTTCAAATCTTTTAATTCCATTATTATTATTTTTTATGTCAAAATTAAATAATAGCCAACAAATCCAAAAAGAAGAAAAGAGAAAGAGGAAATCGAATTTGAATTATTAATTTTTTATTATTCGTTTTTGTTGATAAGCATTGGTTTTGGTCAGAAGCCCATATGACCACTTTGTTAGGTTATTATTACAAAATTTGCCACTGTGCTGAATTTAGTTATTTATTTGATTATCATGAATTATTTAGTTCTGAGATTTTAAACCGTCCATTTTGGATACTGTAATTATGCCCCTCCGTTGGATGATGCATTATTTCTTTTCTTGATTAATTATTAATATAATAAATGAATGTAGATAGCATATATGCTTATTACTGTACTAGTGTGTCAAAAAGGGTAAATTACAAATACTCCCCCTGAGGTATGGTCAAATTACAAAAACTCACCTCTTGTTTGGATAATTACATCTACCCTTCAACTATGATTTTTTCTTACACCGCCACCCTTATGGTGACAAATTCAACATAATCATCTAGATTCCGTGAAATGTGCTCTTGTTTGTACTCGTTTTGTGTAAAAATACAGTTTCCGATTCATCACAAACTGATATATACAAGCTAAAAATCACATATTATGATCATCTTGCTTCATAATGTAGAGTTTGAATGGGATAAAACGGGCACAAAAGTGATAATATTGCATATAATCTCGAAGATTCCACTAAATTTGAGGAGTTGAGGGGTGGTTGTAAATTATCAAAAAAAAAAAGAGGGGTGATTGTAATTATCCAAACAAGAGGGGTGTTTTTGTAATTTGACCATACCACAGGGGGGTGTTTGTAATTTACCCCTGCTAAAAACTAAGTACATGATATAAAATGCGAACCGGCCCGCAAACTCACGAATAACTAAAAATGAGTTCATGTTCGACTCGTCAGAAAGTTTGAGCTTTTATTAAGCCGACTTGGCTCATTTACACCCTTGAATAATATTTACCAATTTTGTTTTTTTTTTATTGATTGTTTCAGAAATTAATGGTGGTTGGGAATTGGGATAATTAATTTTCTTGATTTGGAAATATGAGTGGGTGTGTATATATTGCATTGCAGTGCATGTGGAGAATATGGGTCGTGGGGTGGAATATGCTGTGTCGGACCCCACTTGCAATTGGTGCAACCCCAGTTGAAACTCAACTCAGACAATTCGACATTGAATTCACTAGTCTTTAATGGGTTTTAAGTTGAGACCATATATTATTTTAGGGGTATTTGCACTCAGCTCCCCTGTGAAATGTCTAATTGTCAAAAAAAACCCCTCGGATAAAAAAATTAGCAAATACCCCCCTATAAAAGGAAGTCAATGACAATAAGGACCCTACGAGCGAATCGTGGGATACACTCGCGGTTCATGCAGCTGGGCGTGCGTTTTAGGACAGGAAAAGACATAAAAACCCTTCAGTCTCCTTGAATGACAAAACGACGCCGCTATATTCTCTCCCAAATATCAGCCCACCCCTCGATTCATTGAGTCCTTGAATGACATTGAATTCACTAGTCTTTAATGGGTTTAAACTTTAAAGTTGAGACCATATATTATTTTTATTTTAAAACTAATCTTACAAAAATAATCCAAAAATTCAAAGCAAATGCCCATATTTGTATCACCGACCAATGACGTCGGCCGTACGTGGGCCACAAATTTGTATGTGGCTGCAATTTCCCAATAGTCGTTTGTCATTGGTTCATATGAAAGCTTTGATACCAATTTTGAAGTGATAGCCAATAGCCATTGGACAACAATTCAGAGTTTTATTTATACAAAAATGATATATGTATGTATATAAATTATATAAATATAACAAAAATGATATGTGCATATAACCGTATTGGAATTTTCGGTACTTCGGATATTTGTACCGTTTATCGTATCGAACTATTCCGTTTGGTACCCTTTTTTACCGATCAAGTCAGTTTTTTTCGGTACGGTACCGGTGAAACCAAACTTATAATTTAGTATTTTAAAAAATGTAAAAAGAATATATTTAAACAAATTAATTTCTTGAATTTGACATTCAGATTTAAATAATCGGTCGTCATAACAAAAGGTGATTATCAATAGAGGCTAATTTGTATATAATTAAAAAAAATTATCAATGTAAAAGTATTTTACAATTTGTTATAACCTTACAGAATTTAAAATAAAAGAAAAAAAAATATATTTATTATATATTTCCGTATTCGACACGGTTTGGTATACCGAATATCAATACCGTATACCGGAATTCCAAAAATATTAACCGAATAAAGAACCGAATTTTCAGTTTGGTGTTTGACACGTACCAAATTTTCGATTCGGTAAAGTTCCGTCTGTTTAGTGACCAAGTGAATACCCTAATTGAGATGGACAAAACATGCAGAGCATCTGACTACATACCAATTATAACATAACATGTTCAAAATTTTAAGGTCCAATTATAAACTAGGCAAGTAAAAAATGAAATGTGAAATGACAAAATTACCCCTGGAGAAATCTCACTGCATCAAGATATCATGCAAACAACAGAATCATCATGTGACAGATAGATAGCACAAGAATTCAAAATAAGTACTTTGTATAGTACAAGTCGAAAGGGTTCGCTTCGAAAAGTGCAGTGGGAACCACGATATGAACAAGACATATATTATTTTCGATGTGGGATCCAATTTTTTTCAGCCACCGTTTTTTTTTATTTCCATCGCAACGAAAGGGTATGAATTGTTGGTAATCGTGGACTCTCTCATCACCTTCTCTTTTTTCCCCCCTCTTGTAAGAAGATATTGCACCTGAGCATTTGCTTTTGTGTGTGGCTCTCTTTCCTTATCCTTAACTAACAACAATTCCACCCCCCTCCCCACCCCCCCTCTTTAGCTACATATGTGTTCAATAGATTCAACTATTCATTTCTTCCCTTAGCATATTCGTTGCATATCTGATCATATAATAATGTCTAAACACGAAAATGGCGTCCCGGAAAATCACCAGCCTTGGCCGGAGTTTAAGTTACCTGAGCTGCTGAGCAGCGACACCTTAAGAGATCTTCATGCGGCCATCGAGAGCGACTGGGATTTACTCCGGCGGTCGGCCTGCCAGACTGCCGCAGGTAGAGCATTGTGGAGGCAGGTGATCCGGGACCCGCTGGCCGAGCTTTTTGCCGGGGAGACGTACCTGAAGAATATTTACGAGAAGATTAAGAAAGATAAGCTTAACAATGCCAAGGAAATTTCTGGGGTGATTTTAGCTGTTCGGACACTTTGGTTCGATTCGAAACTCGAGGCGGCTCTGAGCTCCGTCGATGGTGGAGGATCTCAGGTTGTTCTGCTAGGTGCAGGTAAGTATAATTTAATTTTTCGAGTGTTAATTAGGCAACATTTAAATATGCTTTCTATAATAACAATTACATGTCTACAATTTTGAAAAATTGCGAAAAACACGTCCAAATAATTTAAGCACGATTATAGTCACTAATCCCGAAATAATAAAAAAAAAATAGAAACAAATATTTTTTTCCAAGGCCCTACCTATCGATCCTCTACTTCTACTTCCCGGTTAGAAAATGTGGAGCAGACATAAAAATTGCTTAGTGTCCATTTTCTACGGACTCAAATTCGACCCGAAATCCTAACTATCAAGTATACTAGCTATATTTACAACAAAAAATCAAATATTCTTAATTTATTTAGGAAAAGAAAAACAAAAACAGATATATAAATAGATAGATATTTAAGAATTTATCTCACACATACAGGAATGGATGCAAGATCGTACCGCCTAAGCTGCTTGAAAGAAAGCAGCGTATTCGAGGTCGATTTCCCCGAAGTACTGCAAGCAAAAGCCACCATTCTAGAAGCAGCAGCAAATTCGAGCGAGGAGCACCACCACCCAATCATGACGGCAAAATCGCTGACAAGAGTGGCAGCTGACCTGGCAGAAGACGATTGGCTCGAAAAGCTCCAAACGTCGGGATTCGAGCCCAAGAAGAGCACAGTCTGGATATTGGAAGGAATCCTGTACTACCTCTCCCACGCGCACGCAGCTGAAGTACTCAACATCATTGCAGAGAAATGCAACCTCACCAAAACAGTGCTCTTGGCTGACTTCATGAACAAGCAAGCCACCACGTTATCGAGCTCCACTTTTCGATTCTACTGTGATTGGCCGGACCAACTGCTGCCTTCGATTGGATTCGCAGATGTTACTCTTTCGCAGATTGGAGATCCCGATGCGCATTTTGGGTTGTTACAAGATCCGATGAATTTGTTCAATAAGTTGAGGAACTTGCCTCGAACAGTACAGATTCACCCGGATGACGGGACGCCTTGCGGGCGGCTGTATTTGTTGCAGGCTTCTGGTTCGCCCAATCAAACTGCTTCGTGAGGCCAGGTGGCGGATAGTGCATATATATGCTATATACATATCAAACTTCCGGCTTTTTTTTACATTTTATAGGCGTTAGGTATTGTTTCATGTGACAACACAATAATAAAGTTTATAATTCCATTACGAGATCAAATATGAGGGGGAAAAACATCAGATACCTTACCTTGGTGTTTTTAGCTGTAAATATTCTTTCGGAGTACATATAGAATTCTTTAGGTAGATTCCTTATTTCACATATAAATTTCTTTTGCTATTGCATCTTAAAAAAATCCTTACTATAAAAAAGAACCAAAAGAAACGGCTAGCTGAAAAAAGATTTACGAATACACTTCAAAGTACAAAGACAAACCATTTCATCGTTAATCTCGTAAATGATACTTAAATAAACAGTCATTATTCAGCTTGCAGGGATACTTTTAAATGTTTTTCAAGATATACATGACCTTTCCTGCAATCCAGAAGCCCGTCGCATTCAATTATCTAAGTGCAATATTTATTAGACAAACTCTAAAAAGTGGATGGTGATAGTTTGATGGTCTTGGTATGTATGAATTTTCAATAGAAGATGTAATAGAAATAATTTTCAGCATCGCATAGGCAAATTAAACATAACCTTCTTACCTCATTTATGCGTGCAAGAAATATCGACGAAGATCCAGCTTCTTTGTTATTACAAAGCTGCTTGTATATCATTTTTAAATCAAAACTGCATTTCCAGGAAGTTAAAAGTAATGTTTGTGGAAAATGTACAAAAAAGTGATATTTCTCATTCTTAATTCACAGACACGAAATATTAAGCAATTAGCAGATGAAGAGGAAAGAGAAACTAACGACTCGAAATTTAGTACAACCAAAATAATTGACATATGATCGAAAATGGTGAAGTCAACACTATTTTTTAATTCGCGTACATCATTACATTATCGAGGCTGTTTACCTTAGAGAACTAATTCTAGTACTGCCATAGATGTCCAGCCTACTCATATTCTGTTTGATCTCCCATCTCTCGTAACAATGCACAAGAATGGTAATCAACAACTTTGATAAATTAATTACGAAAATGGCATCTATTTTACGACTCATCGGTTTACATCTCCAAGAAGGTTTGTGGATAAAACCTTTATGCAGGAATTATAGAGATCAAATTTGGAGACAGTCCTTGATTCCCTGCTCCAAGTTGTTCAGTGAAGATATTGTATCATTAAGTGCATCCGCAACTCTTTGCCTGCAGCACAAACGACAAGAGGATTAAATCGAGAGTCAAAAATAGCATATGGATATACAAAAAAACACAAACTACTTGGTTAGCTATTTGAATTAGAAAGCTACTCGGGTAGGCTTAATATACCTGTTTGAAGTAAGTTCAATACCTCTTTCCCTTACCATGCCGTTGAGAGAAGAAAATGATCTGCAATTCAAAATCAAATTAATTAGCCATTGAATATAATGGGCCAGTGACACGATTTAAGGATCTAATAGCAACAGCAAGCTAGAGAAGTACCTTATGAGATCATCGAGCTTGGCTTCAGCTTCTAACTTGATTGGATCTTTTTCATCAAGCAAAGACGATGCATTTTTTACAATCAAACGGAACGTGCAGACCTAAAACATAGTATACCAAAGTCAGATGACAAAAGTAACTCATTCGGGAGCCGATACAATTCATGAATAAGTTTCGACGTTCTCCATTGTCTTTTATTCATCCGTTTTTTCTTGACTAATATTGTGATTTAAATTCTAATAAAATCTCAAATTCTCCTGCAGTTTCAGTTAAACTAAACCTCGTTAGTTCTTCACATGCAGATCAATTTCAAATTCTTTATGTTTTAGTATGGTGAGCTAACCTTACTTTACACAAACAGATCAAAAACATATTTCACTTTAACATATCGCACATCGAACAATAGATCATAATCTATCTCTTGGTATTATTATAACTAAGATCAACTTGATTAACATAACAGATTAAAGAGTACACATAAGTTAGAATGTCTGTAATTAGTCCCCTACGAAATGTTACAGACGTAATATAATGCCGGATAACAAAGAAATTTAATTAGCTTATAAATAGTTGTGCAAATGCAATCTCATCGCTATTATATTAGTATAATTAGTTGATTACCTCCACTCCGGTGGTGGATTGGAACTCTACGAAAGAATTCCTATCGAGAGGAACACAATCTCTAGCGGCAGACACTAACAACTTTTGAACTTCCGCCAAGTCATCTTCGCCAAACTCGGCCTCACTTTTCTTCACTACACCACAAATTGCATTCGCTTTGTACTAAATTAAAATTAAAGTACTAACTTCTGAACAAATAACCAATTGTCAAAATAATCGAAGCGAAAAAAAAAGGCGAAAAAAAGTTACTTAGTACGAGATAGGCAGATTGAAGTATGTTGCGAGATCCATCGACCGGAGCTAAGAGAAATTTGTAGGTCTTCTTCTTTTGCTCTTTCAGCCATTCCTTCGGTCCTGCTAAATCAAATTTCAGAAGCAAATAATGAGAAAATTCAGTTACACAAATTAGGGCAGATTGAAACGAAGGAGATGAGAGGAAATTGAGTACAGATTCCGATTGAGAATGCGGAGGCGAGCGGTGGCTGGAGGAGAGAAGGGAGGAGGGGGGTGATGATTGACGAGAGCAAAACGGCTGCGTTTCGGCGGGAGATTGGGTTTATTTCGTAGGACGAGCTGTGGGGAAAGTGAGACGGCGGTGAACTACGAAAATTTAGCGGCGGCTGAGCGGCGGAAGACGGGGCGGGGGTGGAGGAGATTAGGGAGGTGAGGAATTTCGACATGGTGGTTGTGTGGCTTAACGGTAAAGATGATGGGTATCAGAATCCGAATTGCAATTGAAAATCATTAAAAAGAAAAGGGAAAATTACAACCAATTCAAATTGCGAGATTTGCATAAGGCAGCGACTATTTGCAATCACAAATTTACTTAGGGCAAGACCAAATTAATTTTTTTTATCAAATTAGTATAAAAAGACTATAATAACCTTAATAAAATATAAACAAAATAAAAATTCTTTTATTAAATATTTACGTTTGCAAGACCAATTTAAAAAAGAAAAATTAATAAAAAAGAATGAAAAAGCAAATCGAAAAACGAGAATTGAAAAACGAGGAGGAGGGAAGAAGGGAAGAAAAAAAAAATTCAATTGCAGCACTCTCGCCGCCGCCCTTCGTCTTCGCCCCGCCGCCGTCGCCGTCGCCACCTCCCCCGTTGCCGTTGCAGTCGACAAACACTAGAAATATCCAATGTCGCCGTTGCAGTCGTCACCGTTGATCGTTTTTTCTCGTTTTTCACACCTCATTTCACGTACAAAAAATTCGACGTGTACAGGTTGAAATATGCTCCGAATATCGACACACTAGTGTCGAAATATGCACCGAATATCGACACCAGAATGTCGAAAAATTCAATAAAAATCGACAGTAGAAGAGTGTCGATTTATGTTGAAATTTTCGACGATAGTGTGTCGATATTCGGAGCATATTTCGACCTGTACACGTCGAATTTTTTGTACGTGAAATGAGGTGCGAAAAACGAGAAAAACGATCACAAAGTACAATATTTCTTACCTCTTTGTGTTCTTCGACCTTGGAATCCTCCATATTTATGTCTTGTGTATCCATAATGTCATTCTTTTCAAGTTTTAGTAAGATTTGAGGGTTTTGGGGAATATGGAATATTTTTTTGTGGAAAAAGGTGTGTAAAATGAGTGTGGAGAAGAAGATGTTGGGGTTTTGTTGGGGGAGTGAGTTCCCTCCCGTTTTTTCCTTTTTTTTTATTCCTTTTTTTTTTGTTTTTTTTTGTCTTGCAATAGCAATTAGCCTAATTTGAATTAATAATATCTAAATTAATATTGGGGTTATATTTGTAATTTTCAGTCTTGATCTTAGTAAGTTTATTTATATTTTGGTCTTGCATGAAGTAAGGTCTTGCACTTAGTAATTTTCGTCTTGCATATATTCGTTGCCTTTGCATAATTACGAGCACTCTTTAACTATGTATTTTTTTACAAAAATATCCTTCTAGTTGATAAATCTATGGGAGTTTATTCGATAAAATTATTCAAAAAATTGTGGTATGCCATTTTAGTTCAAATAAACCAAATTTTATTAAAAATATTTAAAATTTTGATTATTTTTTATTTATTTTTAATTAATTATATATATATATATATATATATATATATATATATATATATATATATATATATATATATAATAAGATAAAATCGAATATCACACCGAGTTAACGGTTCGGTAATCGGCATGTACAAATTTTCGTTCGGTTCGATTCGGTCAATAAACCGATCAAATGAACACCCTATGTAAATTTGATAATGTAAGGCTGAACGTGTAAGAAAATATAGCTGAGAGGAATGGTTGTAAGTAAGCAAACAATAGAGATTTTTTCGTAATTTGACCTTACCTTAGGGGCGTGACCGTAATTTGCCCAAACGGAAATAAAATATCGCTGGGATCGAACCCACCGTCCGTCATTTTTGGCTCAACTGTTTGTCTCAAATAGACACGACCACCGGTTGGATCTAATCTGGAATCGGCCCGAACCCACCTCGTTGACCGAGGACCCGAAATCGAACCCGAAATTGCATGGGTCGGTTTCGATTCTTGTATTTGGGGACCCGAGACCCGACATGCCTGCCCGGCAGGTCGACCTGAGGATCCGGACCTGAGGAACCGACCCGAGGTCGGGCCACCCCAATTAATTTTGTTTTTTTTTTTTTTAATTTTGAACCCGACCTAGACCCGGATCCGCCGCCGATCCCCACGGGTATGTTTTGGGTCCCTCAAATGTAGGACTCGGACCCGAACTCGACCCATCTGTAGTCGTATCTAGGCCCAAATGTAAATAGGTCTAGTAGAGATCCTTAGAGGATTCTATAATACTTTCTTTAGTAGATATTTTGTAGGAATTCTTTGAAATGCTCTAGTGAACAACTCTTAGATTCTATAATACTTGCCTTAGTAGATATTTTGTAGGATTTTTTTGAAATGTTATAGTGAACTTTTTGAAATGTTATAGTGAACAACTCTTAGCTCTTATAACAAATAAACATCCACCATTCATTGAGGAGGTGACGTAGTAGAAATAGGAGTAGCCAGTTCTTTTGTAACCATCCAAAAAATCCAAGTATGCTTATTGGAAATCGGACCACTACTTTCTCCCAGTCTTGTTTTTCTCTAGAAAAACTAGAAATCATAGAAATGAATATGAATATGGCGAAGAAGTTCTACGAATACGAAGAACATAAATCTAAGTATGATTATCGGATTATCGGAAATCGGACCACTACTTTCTCCCAGTCTTGTTTTTCTCTAGAAAAACTAGAAATCATGTGTACGCGATCCGACACTGTATTCAGTGTATAGTCTTCTCCAATGACTAAAAAAAATTCTTAGGTGTAATTTATTATTGGGTTTTAAAATTAAAATTAAAACTATTAAATTATTAAAATAAATATTCCGTCAAAAAGAGAAAAAAAAATCATTTTCGAATTCATTCTTGATTTTATTTAGATTTATTTTAGAGAGAGATTTATTTTTTTATGAACATTAACAGTGACATTTTTTATGAACAAATTTTAAATTGATATTTTTCCTTTTCGTTAAATCGTTAAATCATGAACATATATTGTATACAAACTAGCAAACATATATTGTATACAAACTAGCAATTTTTATAGATCACGCGTATAATTCATTTATTTTAGGTCGAATGTTAAAAGAAACATAGAACTCCAATAATATATGTTCATTTAGCTATGGTGAAATTCATTTAGAGTTTGAAAATAAATTAATTATCTCAATTTTTGTAATAGAAATTAAAAGAAAAAATTGTATTAAACGATGAGTTGGGAGATTCCAGAGTATCATTTTAAGAATCTCTAAAATCACAAATCAATCATAAATGTCAGTATTAGGGGATTGAGTTTAGCATTGGAGAACGGCACAATCGAAACTTAGCATAATGAAAGTCGGCACACTAACCAAGACAAGGTAAATTATTACAAACAGGGAAATCATGTGCGGGGAAACGGCAAAAGGGGCACGAATTGCTCTTGATAAACCATCGAACAATGCAATGGTAATGAAAAGCATGACCGCAAGGAAGAACAGAAACCCGAGATCCCACGGTGGGATTCCGCAAGCAAATCGAACACATCTCCATAAGACTCAACCCTTGATCAACACCTTCAACCCTAATCTTTGCTAAATAAAACATCAAAAAATCCCTAAGCCTAGGGTGGATACTCTTGTGCAGCTCATCGTTCCTACCGGAATGGTTCGCCCAGAGGTAAACCGGATACATGAACTCCGCCCTAATCGCCCTATCGTACGCCTCTTCAACTGTTTCTCTCTCTAGCTGCACCGTGCAAATGTCCAAATCCACCACCACCGGAAAAAATAATTCTTCGGGATTATCAGCCGCCCACCGTATGGCGAAATCGATTGCCCCCTGAAGCATACATTCAATTTCTTCCTCGGAGATAATCCAGTATTCCTGTAGCCTAATACCCATCCAGGTAACTAGGTAACTTCTCATGAACTCTTCACCCTCACTTTCGTATACAATTACATCGAAAGCTTCCGACCCCATCACATCTTCTTCATCTTCAAACTTTTTCTTTAGCATGAAATTTGTTCTGATCTCGAAAAAATAGAACTTTCTCTCACGGTTGTAAAAATCGGTCGGAAACTCGTCATAGTTCACCCGAAAACGATAACGATATTCGTGCCCAAGTATCTCAGACATCCTCCCTGAGTTATTTTCCATATGACAATTAGGGTTCTACAACATAAAAAAGGATTTATATAATATATATATATATATATATATATAATTGGAAAGTTGAATTTGAATATGAGTACAACTCCTATACATGATGATTGATACTGCACAAGGAAAAATTCCAAAGTTGTAAAAATAGCTACTTTATTTATAAGTAAATTGCACGTGCGAATAGTAAAAAAACAAAATAAGTACAAGTAAATAAATAGCTATAAAAATAATAAGGGTAAATTACAAACACCCCCCCTGAGGTATGGTTAAATTACAAAAACCCCCCTCTTGTTTGGATAATTACATCTACCCCCTCAACTATGATTTTTTCTTAGACCTCCACCTTTATGGTGCCAAATTCAACATAGTCATCTAGATTCCGTGAAATGTGCTCTAGTTTGTACTCTTTTTGTGTAAAAAATACAGTTTCCGATGCACCACAAACTGATATATACAAGCTAAAAATTCACATATTATGATCACCTTGCTTCATAATGTAGAGTTTGAATGGGATAAAACGGGTACAAAAGTGATAATATTCCATATAATCTCGAAGATTCCACTAAATTTGATGAGTTGAGGGGGTGATTGTAATTATCCAAACAAGAGGGGTGTTTTTGTAATTTGACCATACCTCAGGGGCTGTTTGTAATTTACCCAAATAATAATAACATAATCAAAAGTTGGGCTTCTGCTGAGTGCTGAGTTATTTGGGCTGTAAATTTTCTCTATCCATAGCAATTGCGTTCCCCCCGATAAATCCATGATTTTTCAGTATATAGACAAACAGGGCCAGTCCCGAGTTTTCCGACGCCGCGGGCGATACCATCGACTTTCTATTATTTGTAGGGGTGACATTGGTAGGGATACCGAAGTTTTTGACCATTACCGTATACCAACCGCTAAGTTATGGTAATGAAAAGTTTCGTACCATTACCGTACCGAAACATTCGGTATACCGTTGCTTGGTATACCGTTACTTTTGGTACGATACCAGTGTACATGGTATTCTACCATTATCACGTATTAAGCTAAAATTTGATATAAAAAAAAATCTTGTCATTTTGACCCGTAAATGAATTTCGCAATATATAAATTTATATTATCTTAACGTCTTCATACATTTATTGAGCCAAACATTACAATTAATTTGACGACGTGACATAGTGCAAATTTATTCATATATGTTTGGTTATTGTTATATATATATATATATATATATATATATATATATATATATATATATATATATATATATATTGATTAGAAGAAAAAAAAGAAAAAAAAAATACATGTAGTTTGAGAAAAATCGGAAAATTGACTTGTAATAAAATAAAGTATTAGAAATATTTTTTTTATAAAGTTATAAATATTATGGTATAGAATATAAAGGAAACAAAAGAGAAATAGAAAATATACTATAATAGTAGGTATGGTACGATATTACCATACGGTACCAATACCGTATTAGACGTTGATCCTACAAAAGGAAACGTTAGACGATCATCATTGTCGTCATAGTTTTGGTAATTTGCAGTAGTTTGATAGAAAAACTAGAAAAATATTTAAATTTGTTTGTTTATTTGCTGTATTTTGATAGAAAAATTAGAAGAGGTTTGTTTGTTTATTTGCTGTATTTTGAAGAGGTTTGATTATAGCTAGAAACAAAAAGTTTCAAAGAATTTTTTGGAGATGCGGGGGATCGAACCCCGTGCCTCTCGCATGCAAAGCGAGCGCTCTACCATTTGAGCTACATCCCCATTTGTTATTTATTTATGTTCATATATAGTGAAAATAATTCAATAAAAAAAACCGAAAAAAAAAATCAGAAGGGAAGCCACTCAATATCAGAGCCAGGTTTCGATCCTGGGACCTGTGGGTTATGGGCCCACCACGCTTCCGCTGCGCCACTCTGATTTTGTTAATTATTTATAGCTTTGTACAGATATATCTTTATGTAAAACTTCTCATTTTCTTCACCAAGTTAGAACTATGAAATTGTTTGGAAATTGGAACAATACTTTTCAAATATGTTACAGGGTCGATTATTGAACATTATGATGTCATAGATCACATCCAAAAGAACTCCTGAAATTAAATCAAATAAGAAAAGGAAGGAAAATATCCATCAACATACAAAAAAACTCCTGAAATATTTGAAAACAGCCCCAACACTTTCAAAGATACATATTATGCACCCCAATAGCACTCAAATAAGCGCCACTCTTTCCGAAAAATCCGACAATCTTGCCATCGCAGCCTTTCGAAGAAGTGAAGAATGTGCCAATCTCATTTCCCGATGGACCGTATTTGAACTTGTTAGTATGAAATGTGATCGATCTCATCACACTAACACCTCCCGTAATCCCTTCAATCGGGCCATGAAAACCTTCGATTCCGACTAAATACTCGCCACCGTCGACATCAATCTCAATCTGCAAAAACATATAAAACCCCAAATAAATATAAACAAGGCTAACTTTTTCAACGTAAAAAACACGATAAAAAGGCTAACTTTTTTCACGATATCTCCGCCCAAACAGCCATGCATGGGCGACCAAATAGTAGTGCCGTCTTTCTTCACATACAGAAACTGAACTGCAGATATTGCATTTGTGTGAATACATTCATGCACGTGAACTTTTTTTATTTCCGAAAAAACCCCATCATCAAATTCCCTCCCCTCGATCCCGCCCCACGGTCCTGGACTTCGGACAAATACGCCCTTGTTGATTAGATTTTGGAGACGAAGCTTCATCAAATTTAAACCACAACTTTATCAATTAACTAATACAGATTCATACATCAACTCTATACTTATAGTGTTGCTAGCTATTGATATATATAGATACACCCGAGATAGAAGTGCTGACCGGGATAAGCTCCGAGCTCTCCTTTTTCGGAATGGACACAAAAACAGAGGAAATGGGCTTGAAATAGAATCCAATGCAGTCAATGCATCCACCTGCGCGCCCATGAAAGCCGGTAATCAAGCTACCTATCGGGCGGAAAGAAAATGAAGTTCCTGTGGTGTTACCAAAAGGCCCGTATTCGGTAAGCTTAGTGTGAAATTTAAGGGATTGCATGTACATTTGGCCAGGGCTGCCGTAGGTCCCGCTAACGCCCGTGAGGAAATCGAGTGGGAAATCGATATTGATCTGCATGAAATTAAACGAAGAGATTAGATATGTAGTTATATATAGGGCAAATTTCACTTAACCCCTTGTATAAACAACACATCTATTCATAAAGTGACTCTTTCAAAACAACATATCCATTTACAAAAGGAATCTTAAATATCTATAAATAGGACAAAACCTGATCAGTTTTGTATACGATAAAATAAGACGTTTAAGAGTTCTTCAAAATAATTCTCTGTCGAGATTTCGCTCCTATGTTACGAGTTCGCCGTGGGCTTCGAATTTGTGCAAATATCGAAGCAACCGACTGTTGTATCTTGGGAGACTACCGGGAGAGACTGTTGCACCGTAGACAACCCGAAAATATTATCTTAAGGATATTGCAATTTGCAAGCCTCAGTCAATTTCTCGTTTTCCTATTTCCGGATTATTTCTTTTTCCAAGTAAGTGCAACCCCTGTTCAATTATTTACGCAGATTGTTATATGTATATATATACCGACACGTTTTAGAGAGACTGAGATTCTAATTAGTCTCTAAATCGATCTCTAAACCGATAAATCGGAACTTATTTCAGATCCTTGTGATTATTAATGCAACAAAGGTAGATAAAATTTACACACAATATCTAAAATTAAATTAGGTCACCCTTATCCGTTCGAATTAAAATAACGGGAAGTAGGGTTTGTCGGTTTACCTTATCTGTTCGAATTCCGGAATTAAATGCACCGCCGAATGTTTTGGAGTACTCGGAGGTGGAGCCGCTGTCGCCCTTGAACATGATTGATTCGACATTGTTTTTGCTGCAGACGACGACGATCTGCTTTATGGCGTGTTTGGCTTTGTAGCTAAAAGCTGTGCCGCCGGGACCTCCAAATGGGCCTATTGAGATTTCTCCATCACATACCATTTCACTTCCCTGCAATAATCGAACGGAGTATTATGTATTAATCGCGGAATGAAATTTGAACAAAAAAAGGGGAAAAAGGAGAAGAAAATTGAGTCACCATTTTTTTTAGAGGAAAAATATTTTGATCATGTTTGCGTGCATAGTTGCTCTGTTTTGTATGAAGAAAGTAACGGAGTAGGGCGGTTGACTTGACGGAATGAAATGCCCTAAAGATTAAAAAAGGCGGGAAAGTTCAGTTTCATTAACGTGGCAAGTTGACTTTCTTTAATCAATGTAAACTTCATTAAATATTTAATAGGGTAAATTCCACTTTACCCCCTCGTACTCTGCCTGAGAATCACTTTACCATCTCGTACTCTCAATTTCACCAATTTACCCTCTTGTACTTGTACAATTTCCCAATATGGCCATTTCCTTCAACTTTTGTCAATTTTGACTCTAACGCCGTTCGGTCAACTCTGTAAATTACAAAATTGCCACTGCCTATAACGCGTCGTTTCTCCTCCGTCAATATTGTCATTTCTACTTATCCCACCACTTCCCCTTCCAAGATATCCCCAAATTGAACACCTAACTTAGTAAAAATCAAGACCCAAAAATTGATCGATTCCACCCAGTGCAAAGAAAAAAACATATGAATGTGTGAAACTTTCTCTTTTCTAATCTCGAGAGTCAAAATCGAAAAAATTCAATATTTACGTCAATATTTTGACTCTTGACCAAATGGCGTCAGAGTCAAAATCGAAAAAAGTTGACAAAGAGGGTTGTATTGGGAAATTGTACAAATACAAGGGGGTAAATCGACGAAATTAAGAGTACGAGGGGGTAAAGTGGTTCTTGGACAGAGTACAAGGGGGTAAAGTGGAATTTACCCTATTTAATAAGTAGAACCTCGATAAATTAATAATTTCTCCTGGTCTTGAATCGGTGAACACGTATTAGATTATTAGTTCGATAATTTAATATATCGCTAAATTAATATGATTTTGCTAGTTTCGATTGTATTAATTTATAGAAGTTTAACTGTAAATTTTTTTCAAAGATTAAAAGGGATAAGGAAAATTAAAAATATATTGATAATGGAGCACCTCAACTTAAATTTAATAATCAAGCGAGTTTTTTTAAATATTAAAAGGAATAGGGAAAATTAATGGAAATTAAAACTACATTGATAATGGAGCACCTCAACTTAAATTTTGAGGGTAAAATTCATTTTGCACCCTTGTATTATTTATTTCTCTTTTTTTTTCTTTTTTTTTCTTTTTTTCTTTGTTTCTTTTTTTTAGGAAGTATTATTTATCTCCCTGATATATAGGAAACATTAAACATCCCTCTATTTTTAACGGTCAATGGTCAAACTTTTAACGGCATTAAGTTTAAATGTGTAATGACTCTTTTATCTTGTTTTATGTCTGATATAATCTCTAAATTTTTAGGCGTATTTTTTGTGGATTGTTGACGATTTTTAGCGTTCGTTTAAGTTATGGCTTTTTTTCAATTTTAGTATTTTATTTTAGGGATTTTACAGTTTTCTTTTTCGAGGGATTTTCCCATTATAATATGAAAAGCTTTGTTTTTAATTTGCAATTCTTTCGTATGGTTTTATTCTAATTTTAGGGTTTCTTTTAAATTTGAGAACTTTTAGTTTTCTATTTTGTGAGTTTATTTATTCGACTTTCCAATTTTTTTTTATAAAAAAAATGGCTGAAAATAGTAAAAAAAGAAAATGACTGAAACAAGTGAAAAAAAAGGGCTGAAAATATTTGAAAAAACTAAGCAACCTATATATAGAAATTTTTGGGGTATTTTCGTAAAAAAAAAAAAAAGCCAACATTTCTTTGCAATAGTCGGTCAAACGATTTGACTAACGAAAATTAGGAAAAAGGTGGTGTTTTGTTTTTTTTTTTTTTTATACTTCATGGGATAAATAATACATTTCGCATAGTACATGGGTACAAAATGAATTTTACCTTGGAATTAATAAGTAATAACCAAGTTCTTTTCAAAGATTAAAAGGGATGAGGGAATGGAAATTAAAAAAAATATTTACAAAGATGGAGATGCGGGAGATCGAACCCCGTGCCTCTCGCATGCAAAGCAAGCGCTCTACCATTTGAGCTACATCCCCACTTGCAGAAACTTCTCTCAATTATTTAAATAACTCATTAATGGAATACAAAACCAAAAATAATAACCAGAAAGAAGCCACTCATTATCAGAGCCAGGTTTCGATCCTGGGACCTGTGGGTTATGGGCCCACCACGCTTCCGCTGCGCCACTCTGATTTATTTGTTGTTTGAAGCGTTATATAGATATATATTTATTTACAACTTCTTATTTTCTTCAGCAAGGTAGAACAACTATGAAATTTCACGCACTTTATCGTACTTTGGCAATAAAAACCTTCGATTCCAACTAAATATCCATCTGCATTCATCTCAATCTACATTTTCAACAAAACAAAAACAAAAGAAGCAATTAAAAGTTGAAACACCACCCCCACTATTATTTATAAAATGGAAATGAACACAAATATGATAATTATACGATAACCTTTTTAACGACATCTGCGCATGGGGCGCCATGCATTGATCACAATTCCGGTATTAATGGAAATAGTGAAATACAGTATCTAATTGTTGTCCGGGAATAGAAATGCTGACCGCTGTAAGCTCGTCGACTGAGGAGCTTTCATTCTTCGGAATCAACAGCGAAACTGAGGAAATGGTAGAATCCAATTGAGTCCAAAAATCGACCGGCTATCAAGCAGCCTTTCTGGCGGGAATGAAAACGACTCATCATACGAACCACAATAACCGAAAGGCCCATATTCAGTGTTTTTGGTGTAAAACTTGAGTGATTTTATACAATGTAGTTCTTTGTCTTGATAATAAATGTCGGCCTGACTTCGGCTGCCATGAGTACCGCTTCCAACCATTAGCACAAGATTAATTAATTAACTGCAATTTTGGTATCAACACAAATCTATAAACTACATGATAGATGATTGACATAAAATAAAAAAATAAAATAAAAACGGAAAAAAAAATATTGCTAATTAAAATGGATAAATATTCATAAATTTTAATTAAGATGGTATACTATGATCGTATCATATTTCGATCGTGTGAGTTGATGCATGGATATCAAAACAATATAATCTACGGTTTCAGCTCTAAAGACACAGGACGAGTTAACTCGGTTTGATATTGGCATATACCTCAGTTTGATTTGCGCCATGATACACAAAGCAGTACCACTGAAACATTAATTACAATAAGAATCGCCAAAACATGCCTCAACCTTTAATTGTATTCAAGTTCTCAATTTGTTTGCTTACAGTAAATGGTCGTAGCAAATATTTTTTTGCTACGGTAGTATTCATGCATGGGCCCACCGGCCACCACGATTCCGCTGCGCCACTCTGATTTGGTGATGAACTAGAGCTACTCAAAATAAGTTCTCATACATAAAAAATTTCATTTCTGACAGTATTTTTATCATCCAAAAATTATAATAAGTACTTCATTATTAGATCAACGTGTTTCAAGTAAGTTTCAGGGTTGATTATTGAACATTATGAAGTGATATATAACGTGCTTCAATGTTTCTAAGTGATACGAAAAGAATCCAAATAAATCGAGAAAATCGATCGATCGAATAATTTCGATCACCAAGAAAACAAAAGCAAACTTAAATTTTCTGATGCCTGGACCAACAGAAATTTCTTATGATTAAACATGCTTGATTTTCCCATAAAATTGCATCAATTTAGACATGTTTGCATCCAACAAAACTACTGATGCATTACCACATAAAAAGGAGACTAATTCCAACAAAAGATTGACCTAAATTCAGTTGTCCCTTAACATACTAATAATAAGTAGCAAAAAAAAAAAAAAAAAGAGAGAAAATATTCATCAACATTCAAAAAACTCCTGAATATTTCAAACAGCCCCAAGACTTTCAGAGATAGACATTATGCACCCCAATAGCACTTAAATAAGCGCCACTCTTCCCGAAAAATCCGACAATCTTGCCGTCACAGCCTTTCGAAGAAGTGAAGAATTTGCCAATCTCACTTCCCAATGGACCGTACTTAAACTTGTTAGTATGAAATGTGATCGATCTCATCACGCTAATATCACCAGTAATCCCTTCAATCGGGCCATGAAAACCTTCAATCCCAACTAAATACTCGCCACCATCAACATCAATCTCAATCTGCCAAAACATATAAAACCCAACAATAAATAGAATGAAGGCGAACATAAATTCGAAAAGGAGACAAAAAACACGATAAAAAGGCTAACTTTTTTCACGACATCTCCGCCCAAACAGCCATGCATGGGCGACCAAATAGTAGTGCCGTCTTTCTTCACATACAGAAACTGGACTGCAGATATCGCATTTGTGTCACCGCACTCATGCACGTGAACTTTTTTTATTTCAGCAAAAACCCCATCATCAAATTCCCTTCCCTCGAGCCCGCCCCACGGTCCTGGACTTCGGACCAATACGCCCTTGTTGATTAGATTTTGTAGACGAAGCTTCATCAAATTTAAACCACAACTTCATCAGTTAAATAATACAGCATTATATATATATATATATATATACACAAATAATACACACGAGAGAGTGCTGACCGTGATAAGCTCTGAGCTTTCCTTTTTAGGAATGGGCACAAAAACGGAGGAAAGGGGTTTGAAATAGAATCCAATGGAGTCAATGCATCCATCTGCGCGCCCATGAAAGCCAGTAATCAAGCTACCTTTCGGGTGGAAAGAAAACGAGGTTCCTGTGGCGTAACCAAAAGGCCCGTATTCGGTAAGCTTAGTGTAAAACTTGAGAGATTTTATGTAAAATTGGCCAGGGCTGCCGTAGGTCCCGCTAACGCCCGTGAGAAAATCCGATGGGAAATCGATATCAATCTGCACAACATTAAACGAAGAAATTAGATATAATTATATACAAGGCAACTTTCACTTAACACCTAACGCCCGTGAGGAAATCGGAGGGGAAATCGATACTAATCTGTACAACATTAAACGAAGAAATTAGATATATAGTTATATATAACGCAACTTTCACTGAACCCCGCCTACTCTAACTCGATGTCACTTCGACTCTTCAACTAGATCCCAATTAAACTCGCCATTAAACCTAGTGATTCCCATCTATATTACTGTTGAATTATAAATGCAATTACCCAAAACAGTTGATAAATTTTAATACAAATACGCAGTTATATAAAACTATACATGCAGAGCTTTTTAGAGAGACTGAGATTCTAATTAGTCTCTAAATCGATTCTAAACCGATAAATCGGAACTTATGTTAGATCCTTGTGATTATTAATGCAACAAAGGTAGATAGAATTTACACAGCAATATCACTAAAAAGTGTTTGATAAATGGCTTTCACTCAACATTTAATCCATCTAAAATTAAATTAGAGTTTTTCGCATTACTCCATCTGACAATGAGATGAAATAGTGAGAAGTAAGGTTTTTCGGTTTTACCTTGTCGGTTCGAGTGCCGGTCTTAAATCCGCCGCCGAACGTTTTGGAGTAGTCGGAGGTGGTGGCGCTGTCGGCGGCGTCGCCCTTGAACAAGATTGAATCGATGTAATTGTTGTTGCTGATGATGACGATCTGCTTTATGGCGTGTTTGGCTTTGTAGCTAAAAGCTGTACCGCCGGGACCTCCAAATGGGCCTATTGAGATTTCTCCATCACAGACCATTTCACTTTCCTGCAATAAACGGACGGAGTATTATTTATATATCGACAGAATGAAATTAAACAATGAAAGGGGGGGAAAATTGAAGAAGATTGAGTCACCATTTTTTTGAGTTAGTGTATGTTGGATTTTTTTTGAGAAGAAAAATATTTTGATCAGGTTTGCGTGTATGAGGGAGGTTATATCTGTTTTATATGAAAAAAGAGGAATGAAGGGCGGTTGATTTGACGGAATGAACGAACACAAGGTGCCTGTTGAAATGCCCCAAAGATAGATGAAAGATCGTCCTTCTCTGACAATTTTCTTTATTACTGGTATGAATTATTCTCAACTGTAAATCGAAATATTCGAGCCGTTTTTTAAAAATTGAATTTGAATTAATGGAAAATAAAAAAATAAAATGATAATGGAGATGCGGGGGATCGAACCCCGTGCCTCTCGCATGCAAAGCGAGCGCTCTACCATTTGAGCTACATCCCCATTTGTTATAGTTTTATTTATGTTTGTATATAGCCTTAAAATAATTCAATAAAAAAACCGGAAAAAATGAATCAGAAGGGAAGCCACTCAATATCAGAGCCAGGTTTCGATCCTGGGACCTGTGGGTTATGGGCCCACCACGCTTCCGCTGCGCCACTCTGATTTTGTGAACATTTAGAGATATTAAATTTATATTATTTATGTTTCATTTTTTAATAGTTTCTTTATCATCCAGAAATTCGACTATGTATGAAATTCATAGAAGAGTATGTTTCAGGGTTGATTATTGAACATTATGAAACTATACATCAAATCCCAGTAAGTCGAGAAACAAAAAAATAGATCGAATAAGTTGATGGAGACTTCTTAATTTGTAATCGGGAATCTAGGTAAAAAAAAAAAAAAAAAAGAGTTATCCGCAACTTTCTATTCTTTCTACAATTTAGCTTGATTTTATCTTGTTTTTTTTCTTTTAGTTAAATTCGCGAGATACCGCTATATATATCGCGAGACGGTACGGTCCCAATCAAAACGGTACAATTCATAATATGTATTGGCTATGCATAAATACCGTTAAATATCGCGAGATATCGGATCGTATCGTCAGATCACGATACGATACGATACGATATTTACGATATTAATCAAAATATTAAGAAAAAAAAATTTAAAAATATAAAAAAAAATAAAAAAAAATAAAAGAAGAAGAAGAAGAAAACGAAATATTCACATTATCAGGGTCTGAAAACAAATTTCAATGTTATTTAATGTTTTTTTTACATATATTAGATCCAAGAAATTTACACGCCAAGTTTTATATTGATAGGAGAAAATTGGAAAAGATCAAAGTTGGAGTTGATGAAGTTGAAGAGATGATGAACATGAGGATGAAGACACTCGTTTGAAATTGGTGGATGAAAAAAAATTTAAGTTAGATTGATCTTGAAGATTATGAGTGATAGATTAGTTTTTTACAAATTAGAGATCAAAATTTGAACTTTGTTGATGTTATTTTTATGAGCAATTATGACTTCTGTTCTATTTTATGATATATTATTTTTTTAAGAAATTATTATTGAGTGGTTTGACTTTAAAATATTAAAATTTACATTTTTATAGTATTTTTATTATGAGATATATATATATTTTATTATTTTTAATAGTTGGTTAAATATTATACGATACGATAACGATACGATACGATACACGGAGGAAAACGGTACACCGATATTTTCCGATTCGATAACCATGATTTAAGGATGTAACTGGGATAATTACATTTTTGGTCCCCCAAGTTTGCCCGCTTTTCCGTTTTGGTCCCCCATTTACCGCAGTCAACAAAATACACTCTCGTTTTATCAAAATTTAACACATTTGGTCCTGCCGTTTGGTTGACCGTCTGACTTAACAGTCAACCGTCATGTGCCACGCACGTGACTTCAAATTAGGGCTTAATTTGCGTTTTTTTCCCCCAAAATCACCGTTTTAATTCCAAATGAAGTATACTTAGTTACATGTATGTTGATATTACTATATTAATTGAACCAAAATATCTCATTTGGAAAAATGATTAGCAAGTGGTTCTCATTTGAATTCGATTTGATTAATAAACTAGTTTAATTGAACAAAATATGTATTTAAATTAATCAACACAAATCACATTGAATTGAAGCCAAACCCAAAAATACATTTGATAATTACAGTTGCATAAGAAATGAATAAAAAATAACACTTTGCTCCAATAATGGAAAATGTGACACTACAAACTTTGCTTGGATTAGTAGTTCCTCCATTTCAGACTTCATCAAACTTCCCAAAAATCGAACAGCGTGAACTCACTGCACTGCGTTTTAAACAAAACGAGAACATAACTCACGGACACGATTGTATATCCTTTGGCTTTCATTCGTCTGTCCGCGATGAAATTCAACCAACCTGTCGCTGTATCTGAAATACATCATCTCTCACAAACCAGTCGAAAACATATAGTCAAACTTTTAAGGTATCATATCTCAAAAAATTTATACCAATCGAAGACCTGGAGAATTTCATGTCTTAAAGTGGCGAAAACCAAGATGTGGGAAAAAGGGTGATTCTTTCATACTTTGCAAAGACTCGATTTTTAAAAACCTGATTTCTCAGAGTTACATTTTGAGTAAACAAATTCTTGATCGTGTTTCTTGCACATTTTTACTGCACTGTTCTTTTTGAGGAATTATATAACTAAAAAGAAGCTAAAGAAGAGGATATTCTACCTGGCAATAGTTGCATAAGCAACTTTTTGATTTAACTCGAACGCCCATAAGTCGAATCTTTTGATTCAGCCTGCATGTGCAGATAACAAAATTATAAGAAATATGATAAATACAGAAAATTTAAACAACAAAATGTACTTAGGAAAATAGACAAAATCAAGAAAATTCATCACTAACCAATAAAAGCAAAAAAAAAAAAAAAACCTTGATTTCAGTATTAGACCCCGTTAAGTGGTCAAAACCCCACGATTCCTGATCTTTCAGTAATCAAGAAAATAAAGAAAGAATATTTTATCTTCTGATTCCACCGATCTTCGATTTGTGCCTTAAGCGGTCTATATTCACTACAGCCTCAGCCAATCTTATATTCCAATCTCGAGAAACCGAATCTCCACTAACTAATCCTCTCTCCTCCAAATCCTTCAAAATTCCCTCACCATTAACACAATCATTTTCAGACAAAACGGCACTAACAAGAACGTAAAAAGTGGTGATATTCGGACAAACACTCCTTAATTTCATCTCCTCGTACAACGCAAAAGCACGAGCAATATCACCACTCCGACATAAGCCAGTCAATAGCACATTGTAAGCAACTACATCAGGCTTACAGCCATGATTCTCCATCAACTTTTTACAATCGAGCGCCTCCGAAAATTTAGATTCTTTATAAAGCACGTGAATCACCGTCGTGAAAGTCGGAACCGTCGGAACAATTCCGCCCCTCAGCATGCGATTAATTACCAGAACGCCCTAATTTGAGATTGAGAGAGAGAGAGAGAGAGAGAGAGAGAGAGAGAGAGAGATAGAGAAATGGTGATTTTGGGGGAAAAAACCGCAAATTAAGCCCTAATTTGAAGTCACGTGCGTGGCACATGACGGTTGACTGTTAAGTCTGACGGTCAACCAAACGGCAGGACCAAATGTGTTAAATTTTGATAAAACGAGAGTGTATTTTGTTGACTGCGGTAAATGGGGGACCAAAACGGAAAAGTGGGCAAACTTGGGGGACCAAAAATGTAATTATCCCGATGTAACTTAATTGTACAAAATATATGTTAATTATGCAAATACTTATTGTTTCTCATTTGTTAGGGTCTCAAAATATTCAAATATCTGTTTTGTTTCATGAGAACGACAACAAGGCTTATTTATAGGTTATTAAATCATAATTTTTTTTTTTTTTTTTTATTATTGTAGAAAACTTTCCCTTTCTACACTTATATATTTGAATAGGGTCTATTAGATATAATCCCTTTAGTCTTACAAATAATAGGGGTGGACTCAAACTCAAATTTGTCATTTTGATAAATATTCATATTTTTCTAAATTACATCAGTATCCTCAATTAAATCCCACAAATCCCGTTACTTTAGCTTTTGAAATAATATCAAATCCCTCCATATTTTCCCGTTAAAACACTATCCTCACAAACCCACTACCAAAATCTGCAAACGTCCTAAAGAAAACCAGAAATTTATACACCGGCGATTGACGATTTTCTGCACTCCGAAATCCCTCCCTATTTTCCCGCCGGGTTCGCCGCTTCCACCTCCGACCGCCGCCACCTCCGTCACTGTTGTCGTCGGTGTCCAACGACGATAACAACGATATTAGCCATAAGCAACACCTCCACCACCGCCTAGTCCTCCACCACCGCCTAGTCCTCCACCACCATCACATCCGACCACCTCCGCCTCCAAGACCGCCAAAAAACGACCAAGACCTCCGCCGCTCCCACTTCCAAGGTCGTAACAATCAATTTAGGAGTGATATCGTCGTTGGCCGCCGTCGCCGCCGCCGTCACTGCTCCAATCTAGGGTTACTCAAATCTAGGATTACTCAAATCTAGGGTTTTGATAATTCTTCGGCCCATAGTTGATTAACGAGATGCATAGTCGAATTACATCTGTATTAATAGACTATCCCATATCATTTAATAGACTATCCCACTGATATAATTTGACTATGGATCTCGTTAATCGACTATGGGCCGAAGAATCATCAAAACCCTAGATTTGAGAAGTGACGGCCGCGGATTTGTGTTTTAAAATTAATAGACTATCTCATATCATTTAATAGACTATCCCATATATCTAATTCGACTATGGGTTTAGTTATTTGACTATTGGGCCGAAGAATCAACAAAATCCTAGATCTGATAAGTGATAGCGGCGGATTTGTGTTTTAATATTGTTAGACTATCCCATATCATGCAATAGACTATCTCATTGATCTAATTCGACTATGGATCTCGTTAATCGACTATGGTCCCCGTATTATTCAACCACATAGTATATTAATAATTTCAATATATATAGTACATTAATCTGCTATGATAGTATATTACGGTTATAGTAGTGATATGAAATTGTGTTACAAACAATATACCACTGAAATGACAAGAACATTGAGAACAAAACCAACGTAAAGTAATTCCAACATAACCACTAAAATAGTACATTAATAATCTCATAATTTCAATATAGGGTTTTGATAAAATACTTAAAACACATCATAGCACAATCAACCAATATGTCGAGTTAAAAAACTCTAGTACATTAATAATCTCATAATAGTATAATAAAATGAT